GCACGGCGGGAGCCCGCATGCGCCTGTGGAGAGCGGGGCGGGCCTGGCTCCGCCCGCCACTGAGGGAGGGCGGCGCGGCAGCGCGGTGTTGTCGTTCTCTCAGGAGGAGGTGACTGAGGTTTCTGTCAGGAGGAGTTAGTCTGCACGTTAATGTGTGCTCAGAAATGAGGAGCAACTAAGTAATTCTTATTCACGTTATAGAGTTTGGATAATGACGTTGTTAATACTAAAAGCACTACAAAGAGTAGGCTTTTTAAGCCTAGAGAGGTGAGTTGGTTTTGAATTAGTTTGTGAGGAAGAAAGAAATCTTTCCTTTTGAAATAGTTTGGGAATGTTGGCGTTGTATAAACCTTGTACCCTGGTACACTGGAAGGGTTATATTAAAAAAAAAATACACAAAAACAATGTTTGGATGGAAAGCTCTGTGTATAAGAAAATACCTCTTCTGAAAAATTATACACAAGATTGTTGTATTTTTCTCAAAATTTCAGCAAGTTCCACCCATTGTTGGGTTTTGATTAATAAACCCAAGTGTAACTCCATCAGGAATTCTCCCACTGTATCTAGAATTTATACCCTCTAATAATTAAATTATTCTTTTTGGGCTGTGAAAAACATGCGTAGTTTACTATTGAAAACTAGTAGAGAATTAGACTGTACATATGTTACTTCTGTAAAAAAGGAACATTAATAAATAATTCTGTTCTCTGCTTCTCAGGGGCAGATGTGGCCTTTTAAATTTTTGTGTATTACAGTGTTCTTCTTTTGTTCTGTTATCAGGGATATTTCACCAAAAAATGGCAGCAAAGTGTTTTTTTCACATGAAGTGTATGAGAAGTATTCATTGGCTCCAAGCCTCTCTGAACTGTGGCATTTATCAAACAGGTATATGCTGTTACATGAGTTTGTGCTGTTTGTCATCATCGTGTTGATTGATGGTTTGGGGGAAAGCTGCATGTTATCTAGCATGCAGGGATTTGTTATTGACTCCTTGGTCCAGTGCTTTACCTATTGTGAAACCTCAGAAAGTGAAAGAGTTTAGGTTGGGACCTCTGGTCTTGTCTTTTGGGAGGTGGAGTGGTATTTTGGGGGTTTGGGGATGGGGTTTCAGTTATTTTTTGGGAATGCTGCTTGTTGTTTTCTGCTTTCCCTTATGTACCAAAGAGGGATGAAGTTTGACCCATGTTCTTAACTAGTCACAGTAAGGATCCTGGAACCCATGCACCAGACCTAATGCTTTTTTAGAAACTGAAGTCTTACCGTCTGTCCATGTCTTAGTTTGTAGAAGGCTGATGATAGGCTACACTGAAATCCTTTTTACTTTTGTCTTGTGGAAGTAGCCAACATTGTTTACATAGATCCAACAGTGTCTTAGGTGCAGTGGAGATCCAATTAATACCTTGAGTAATGAAGAAACTGTATAGAGTGTTACCTAAAGAATGGGAAATGAAACTGTGTGAACACAGGTGGCACAGGTAGTATTGGTTGAGCAGTTTTGATGTATACCTTTTATTTTCTTAAGTTCAGGAAGTAGAATCAACACTTGTTTCACATAGTGAAAAGCATAACTCATGCTGCTGGATTTCAGAAGCTGGTGAAGTGTAAGCTATTTTTTTTTTTAAGGAATTATTAAGATGATAGGGAGGTACAGGTGACAAGTATCTCATGGTGGATGAACATTCACATCACAAAGAATGTGAATGGCAGACCAAGGTAGCTGCTGTGCCCTAAGTGGAGAAATAATTTGTTGTAAAGGGGAATTAGTGTATTTTTATGAATGGCACAGAGAACATGCATTTGAGGGGAATACCTGTCTACATCACATGACTCTCAGTATCCCACATCTTCAGGTAGAAAAGGTTCTTCTGGTTCATCTCTGTTGGAGCAACTTTCCCTTAACTGCAGAGATGAGCACAGCCCTTGAAACTTGCTACTCAGTACACTGGCTGTTACTGTAGGATTCTTCCGTTAGATGATGTAGCAAAAGGATTTCTGGAAGAGACATGACTGCACTTAAGAGTGGGATTGTGTTCAGTCGTGTGTGGTGGAAGTGGGTTTATAGCCAGAAGAGAGGTTGTAATCATAAGAACTCAAATTGATGGGACTTGATTGTGTGGCCATAGTCAAGAGGAAGAGAAATGGAATGTGTTGGGGCAAATGTGAAAGTAAAAGCTGGAGGAAATTTGCCCATTTTTGTGTTGGGGTTTCTGATAGATACTCACTAAAGCGTGTGCGCTGTCACTAGAGAAACTCTGAAGGCAGGTCGCTGATAAAATGAAGGGGGGAAATTTGAACCGTCAGCTCAAATAAAGTATAATGCTGTAAATATGGACAGAAAAACTCTGTCAGATTATTTTGGTTTGCACCCTGATGAAGACTGTGACAGCACTGCATGCTGAAATGATCTTGATGTGCTGCCATTTCATTCAGTGCTGAATGTAGCCAATTTAAGCTGCTAGAATTTCTTGATGTTTCCACATTGGCATATCTGAGTCAGCATCTTGTCGCTGCTGCAGCTTAATTAAATTTGCCAGTTTGTGCCACGAGGATAGACACATTCTCATATTCAGAGAGACAGCTGTGAAGTAATATTAAGAACTGTGGATGTGATACTGCTGGGTTTGAATAACACTTGAGATGTTTTCTGCTGCTGAAATCGTACCTTAAAAATATGCCTTTTCCAAGATCAGCAGTTAATGTTCCGTTAACCTTAAATATTTTCTTTCTCTGCAATGGTTATTTTAAATAGAGCAGGGCTAAGATGGCCTTCATATACTGAAGTTGTTTTTAGAACCAGCTTTATAATGTTACCTCTTTGTTGCTGTTAGAACAGCTAAGCCGCTTGCCTTAGCCCAGTGGTATTTTTGGCAAGTGCTTTCGGTGTTGTTTAGAGTAGAAAATATGACATTCTTGAATTGTGTGCTCCGTTTTTAGAAATTTCTTCATTGAAACCTGAAAATTCTATTGTTACAGTGAAGTATTTTTAATTTACCCCTTACAGTGAAGGAAAGGCTTTTTCTAGTTAAGTCTTTCTCCTTTACTGTCATAGCTTTGGTTCATAAGTTAGACCTGTCTGAGTGCAGACTGCTTCTGAACACCAACCATCAGTGAATGCCAAAATGGTGAGACATTTTAACTTTTCATTAAAAATGAGTGTTTCCAGAACAAAGAGAGTTTCATATTTAGCTTGTCACCTCAGTACTGAGTATACAGACAAATACATATACACCATTTTGTTTAAAAGAAAAAGAACTTTCTTTCCTCTTTAAATCAGTGGTAAACCTGCTATCAGTATTAAGAGTCAGTTTGATTGTGCAGGTGAAGTTTCAGAATAAGAAAATTCTTGTGCCGTAGACTAGGATTTGGAGTACTGTGGTATCTCACAGTGTATTTTGAGATATTTGAAGTGTAGGCTTGCATGACTGCTTTTATTAATTCTGACAAATATTAATATTTACGTGAAAACTGAAAGTTCTTTCATTTATTACTTTTCTTTAAGAGCGGCAAAGAAGAATGTGGAGGTGTGGGCAAACTCTTCAGAAAACAGGCAGACTGGTAGCATACAAGCTGCAGATCCAGTCGAAATGGAGACTAAAAGCACAACTTTTCCAGAACCGAGAATCCCTTATCCATTTACCTCTTGTTTGACTGAGAAGGAGCAGAAAACATATTTATATCTGATGACTAAGTACTCCAAAAAAATAAACCATCTTCAAGTTAATGCAGCAAGTCAAAGAGAATTATTCACATATCTGGTAAGTGGATATATATATAAGGACATACGAACACCACAGAGGGAGTCATACTTTTTTTTGTTTGTTTTGTTGTTACAAAGAGTTAAGGAAAAATTTAGTAAAAATGTTCTTAAATTCAGTTTGTAATAATTTCCTGTTTACATAGTATTGTGAATGATAATAAAGGTTTAAAGTGTTCAGGATAACATTTTTAATATAAATTGAAAGTGTATTTGGTAATTTAATTGAACGTGGGAGTGGTTTTTGTGGATTTTTTTTATTGTCGTTGTTTGGTTTGAGGTTTTTTTAGTAGTAGTCTAAACAACTGATGGTAAGTGTAGCTCTTTGGTACTTGATCGGAGACCCACACACGCCCCAAAAACCCCTCCGTTTTGTTTTTTTACAGGAATGAAGTTGAGAGGGGACCTTACTGTGATTTTAGCATTTCATAATGGCACGCAGGAGTCTTGTATAATGTTAGGAGATGGATGCATTTTGATGTGGTCTTTGACAGTACCCTTTAATGGGATCTTTCTTCATTAGCACATGAGGAGGTCCTGTGCATTGACCTTCGATGCTTGCCACATCAGTGCCTCTGGGAGGGGAAAGACACAAGTTCATACTTGCTCCTTAGACTCAGCAATGTTGTTTAAATAGGAAAAGGCTGTATCTCACGTTGATTGGAAGACTCATTTTGGTTGAACCCTGTACAACGTAGTTAATCAGCAGGCAACTTTGAGCCATTGCATTTGGCTTCCCATACTTTCTTGTTTATGTTAATTCCATTATTTTATTCTGCAACAATGGGAATGCCATTCCCAGGCAAAATCAGTACCTACTGCGTTGTTGCTACTTACGATGTAGTTGCTTATGAAGTTGGAGCTCGGTTATCGTTGTTGCTTTGTCATAGAAACTTGCTCCAATAATGTCTTGTAACCTTTTTTTTTGTTTTGTATGATAGAAGAAGCTTGCTGTTTGTTAGGAAGTGGTGCTTTATTATTTCGGGATTTTTTTATTTTTTTTTTTTTTTTTAGAAAAACGGACCATAAGTAAAAAGTTTCACTTAAGTGAAACTCTGAACATATGGAAAGATTTGCCAAATTGAGCAAACATGGAATCTCTGCCCTTTCTCATACCATCACCTGTACTCCCTCTCTGGAAATTTTGCTCGTTACATGCCTAGCCTACAGGATTCCATTCTGTCATAAAAATTAATTTCTTACTTTCCTCCTTAGCAAATGAAGGAAGTAGTAAACAATGAAATTGCAGAATTTATGAAATTTGCCCAAAATGCTGCAAAAAGCCACGCCAAAGATTATGATGTCATATCTGAAGATGCGCTGCGCTATACTGAGGTAATTACCAACACTGTGTTTTAATTCCTTCTTAATCTAATTGGAATCTGAATAAGATACATAGGCACCACTCGTGGGGGTCTGATGTTTCTGGAACTTCTGCTGATTCCCTGTTGGAACGAGACATTTCCTTTATGCTGTGCAGCATGGCTTGGCCCACAGTTTATGGTAGCCAATAAATACTGTGCAAGGGAGGTCATGCAGTACTGCACAGAGATTTAGTCATCAATTAAGTAAATTACATCTTCATATTTGGGAAGGGAGAAATTACATTTCAAGTGTGCATTTACATTAACAAGCTGCTCCTAAATGTACGCTACTGGGCAGAATGTTAAGCTTTCCTCCAGAGTAACACATTACAAAGTCACTTTAATGGGAGGCTGCTCAGTCTGTAATCATAATCATCTGCAAGTTCATGCTGTATTAAATACCCACTTGGATGATTCTGAAATACAAATGTGAATGCAACTTTATGTGTCATTCTTGGTTTAATAGCACATTTCAAGAAAAGAATTCAGAGAACCAGTTTGTTAAACTTTCCTATCTGTGGGTTGACTTGCTTTTGCTTGTTTTCCTCATAGGATCTTGCCTTAATTGAAATGGTCTACTTACATACTTTTGTTAAAATTTCAGTCTTTTCTAGTAAGTGCCACATCACTTTTTTACAGAATAAAACAGAAAAATAAATGTGTGTACTGGTGAGTAAAGCATTTAGTTAACTTCCAAAGGATTGCTTCAATTTCACCATCACACTTTATTACATGCTTTTTCATGCACAAGATAAATTGTAAATTAGTTCTCCTGTTAACGCACAGTTTGGGCGCACATGAGGACGAAAGTCTTGCTTTTTTCTAAAAATTGGGTTTGGCTTTGTAATTTTCTATCTTGCACTTGTGTGTTTTTTTTCTAAGTGATCTTGTTGTCTCATCACAAAATGTATATCCAAACTTTAAGTCCTGTTTATAGTTAAGTCGATATCCTGAGTTAAAAATGAAATGGAGGCACATGTTTGGTGTTAAACAATACTTGCAGAAATAACTCATTCTAGTTATTAAATAAAACATATATGTCTTGTACATACTTAAGATATCAGAAAAAATTATCTTGGTATCTGGAGTTGACATGAAAGCAAGTTTCAGTGCATACAGAACCTTCCTACGCTTTCACCTTTGCCACTTTTACTTGGGCCTAGTGTACGTTAGGTAGTAACGCAAAAATATACTGGTCCCTCTAAAAGCCAACATAAATAAACTGAAGTGAAAATAATTACCTGGTTTAGCACAGTTCAAACTGTACTAAAATTCTTTTTTTAAGATTATTCTATTATTGGTCTGAGCATGTGTGCATGCATTGTTAGCCTTGCGTATGAAGGGCTGAGGGGAATTTAGAGTATGTTTCAGTCCTGATTCAGTTCAGTGATTGTAAGGTTATTATAGAGTTGTACTGGTATCTCTTTAGTTTTTAAATACTGTCTCTAATGGGAAAAGCGAACAAGTCTGTTAGCAGTAATCTGCTAGATATACCTCTGTTCTCTGCAGAAAGTACATGCAAGTGCAGCTTGCAGAAAAAGCTGTTTTCAGTGAAATTCATGTGAAAGGTAGAAATGCATGAACTACTTTTTCTTCTTATGTTAGGAATTGTTACGTGCTTGTATTGGACATGTGCAGAAGTATCCCGAGTTCTACACACTCCAGGAGATCATGAGTATCATGGGAGGAAAGTTTCATACACAGTTGGCCTTTAGGCTGGAAAAAAATCTTCTCGTAATGGTAATATCTTATATACATACTGTTTTGGTGGTGTTTTCAAATAAGTAGAATGACATCTGGATTGCGTTATGCAAGTAATAAAAGTATTATTCAGTGCTTGGCTTAGGGATTATAATTTAAAAATGTTACTGAAATTAGTTTGGTAGTAAGGCTGTTAACACCCTTCACTGTATGTTTGCAATAAGAAGATTACATTAATAGATAGCACTAACTGTTTTTCATTTTAAGAAGTCCAATGTTGAGTCAACGTGATTTCAGTTAAAGCTGTTTTCTGTTACTGCTTGATTTCTTCAAGGGTACAGCAAGACGTGGAAAAACAGGTTTTCCTGCCATGCCTGTTGAGCTGCCCACAGATTATAAAACCATTGCATCTATTATAAGTCCAGAAAAACGGGCTTCTATTGTGCACAGTGTAAGTACCTTTTTATTGTCATTTTGAAGGCATATTTTGTAACGTGGCAGTGTTAAATTTCTTTGGTTTTTGTTTTTTTTTTTTCTTATCTTGCACATCTTACAGCATAGGAACATACACTGTATCATTATTTGTTCAGTGATTCATTTATAGCAATCACGCTACCCTCTTCAAAAGCTGGATTGTTACCTTTTGGACCTAGTGCCCCTTAAAGGGACTTCCTTTATTCTCTCAGTGAAACATTAGAGAGGTCTTTAAATTGAAACTCATCGTTTGTGAAATCTAGATAGAATTGTTCATTGCAGTGTTGTGCCTTTTAAACTTTGCTTTGCCGTTTCTAAGCTGGCATGTATGCTCTCTGTATGTCTGAGTGTACGTACATATGAATACATGTAGGTGTAAAGGTCTCTGATTTAAGAAAGAAGTACTGAGGGTATGAAGAAATACTTTAGACTGTCCAGTTTTCTGAAAAGTTGATTGAGTTAGCTTACCTGGGAATTTTTTTTGCTAAACATTTTGCCTTATTTCTGAGCTGAATAATTTTTAGATTCCATTCCACTTTATTGTTAAGTATCCAGTGTTTTTGTTTATCTTCCACAGAGAAAATAAATGAGTTTTTTCATTCCATAGAACTGGTTTTGTGACTGTTAATTCCTGATAATTTGTCACCGGCTAATTTAAGGAGTTTGTTCACATATCAAAACCCAAACTTTGAACAGAGGCACTGTGACTGCAAAGACACTTTAGCCCAAGGAGGTAGCAGAGGTGACACTGGAGAATAATATATGCGTCAAGAGATGATGTAGCTGTAAATGGAGAATATTTCTGATGATGTCTTGGGTGGCAGCAAAAATGAACATAGCTAGATTTTTCTTATTTCTCTCTCATGGCCCTCAGTGCTCCTGGGCTTCTGTTATCATCTTCTTAGTCCTTGATGTTCTCCTCCCACCTTGTGAGCATTCCCAGCCTCTTTTCATGGAAGCTTGTGCTCATAATGTTTAATAATGTTACCATTTCAATTCTGAGTTTGTATTCTTCATGTTTTTGTATTTGTCTTAAGATTTCTTTTTTAATATGTAATCTGTATTCAAACAACTGAGCAGTTTAACCATACTTTAATGTTAGATGTCTTTATTGTGCTATTACTTAACTTGTAAGAAGATCTGTAATATATGAGTGAGTGAATCTGGTTTGGGTTTTGGTTGGTTGGTTGGATTTTTCTTCTTCAGTGCACTCCCATATTTCACGATTATCCAAATTCCTAATTGACGTAATAATTCAAATTAATACAAGTGAACTGAGAGGTACAAGCTAAGAAGATATATTATTCTCATGCTACAAGGTGGATGTATAAGATTCAGCCAAAAACCTTCAGGGGAATTTTTTACTCTTTCATTTTACTCTGAAGCCTGCCACTGTGGTCATACCTGGGCTTTTGTCGCAGGGGCTTAATCAGTGTTTGGCTCAGTTTGGGGTTTTTCTTACGAATTTAAATTTATGTGTGTCTTAAAAACATTTAAAATGAAACTTTTTTTCTGTTTAGGATGTTAGTTCAGATTCAAATGCAGAAAAACTTGCTTTGAAGTACTGTCCTCAAGTTGTTCTGAGTAATCAGTCATTATTTACTTTACTGAATAATCATGGACTAAACTACAAGGAACAGTGGGAAATTCCAGTTTGTATTAAAATGATCCCTGTTGCAGGTATAGTATGTTTTTGTTATAAAAATTACAAGTTTTGTCTATGAAGACTTCTATATATTATCATTGTCCTGGTTTGAGCTAAATAGAACTAATTGTCTTTTTAGTGATTTTACTTTTCAGCTCAGTCTCTAAGTGGCTGTACTTGCTGAAACTAACGGCATGTTTTTCCAGACAGTTTTCACTCCTACAAGTGATAGTGCTGGTTTGTTATGTAAACTTGACAAGGCCACTGTCTCGCCGTGAGGGCGGTATCTGCACCTGTGGGGAGGAGCAGCCCCAAAACTGACCAACTAGGTATTCCATCCCACACACATCATACTCGGTATAAAGCTGAGAGACCATGAGGGTCTCAGCCCTTCCTCTTCCTTGCCCTCCCTGTTCTTGTTCTTCTCCTGAAATGGCCAAAGTCCAAGCAGAACCCTGCTAGTTTGTCTGCCTCCCAATCAGTGTGTTTCTGAATTCAGTTCCTGCATCCTGCTCCCACCTACTGCTCAGTCCAGACTGGGACTTTTCCAATGCCCTGCTCTGCAGAGTCTCTGACGGCATATACATCATTGGGGGTGGAGTGAGGGAAGGATTTTATATTCGTTTTATATATATATTTGTACATATTCTATTATTTTTCCTATTTATATTATTATCCTATAGGTCCAATGCCCTGCTCTGCAGAGTCTCTGGTGGCATATACATCATTGGGGGTGGAGTGAGGGAAGGATTTTATATTCGTTTTATATATATATTTGTACATATTCTATTATTTTTCCTATTTATATTATTATCCTATAGGATTAGTACTATTGTTTCATTAAATCTGTTAGTTTTATTTTCCAACCCATAAGTCTCTCTCCCTTATTCTCTTTCTCTTCCCCTTTTGGGGAGGGGAGAGGGAT